GTGTTGACAGTTTGACATTGGATTTATGGTTTTGGATTGTGGCACTGACTACATAAAAAAAAGTTCTCTCTATTTGCGTGGAAAAGTTAATCCGATCAAGGTTGAAAATACTATAATTTTTTTGTAGATGAATAAAACCCCATAAATGAACCAGGCTTTCACAATGTTTCAGTTGGGAGTTTTAAAGACACACTTTGGCCACCACAACAACTTAATTACGATGAAATTTTGATGGTACCCAGTGGGTTGTTAATTGCAGTATGTTACAGCCAACCTGAGCATGTTAATTAGATAGACATGTAATGTTTATATTATACTACTACTTATTCACAGAGGCCAGAGGGGACAGTGATAAAGAGTTCCACTTTCATCATCTCATTTATCCTTAAAGGACCACTATAGTGCCAGGAAAACAAACTCGTTTTCCTGGCAGTATGTAGTCCTTAGGTTCCCCCCCACCCTCATGGCCACTCTCCCTCTGGGCTGAAGGGGATAAAACTTACCTTTATCCAGCGCCGGGCTCCCTCGGCGCTGGTGACCTCTCCTCCCCATTGACATTGGCTCCCTAGTGGAACCGAATGTGCATGCGTGGCCAGAGCCACACGCGCATTAAAAACTTCCATAGGAAAGCATTACTCAGTGCTTTCCTATGGACGTCAGCGTCTTCTCACAGTGAGACAGCCACTAGAGGCTGGATTAACCCTGCAGTGTTTTCTCTGAAACTGCTATGTTTTTTTTTTGTTTAATATCATTTTTATTGTGTTTCCAATAAGTAAAATCATTGCATGGGGTACAGAAGAGAGAAGGGGTTGGCAAAAATATAACATAGTAGGGATTCCGTTGAGTTATACATAGAGATTAAATCAGATTTTTTCGTATGCGTAATCCTGTCCTATGTTAACGGATTGCGGTGGTGGGGAGGGGGCTGGGAGAGGTGAAGTGAGCGGGGGGGCGATGGTTGAGGAACTGGGAATCCTGTCGCTACCTGCCTGTCTAGAAGTTTAGAGTCTAGAGTTTTCCGGCTCTTTGTGGTAAGGTGTTTTCGATTTCCGTATGTGACTGATTCAAGTACTCTCGCTACGGCTAGTTATGGGCGCGTTTCCTGCGGGGGGGTTCCCAGTAAGTGAGCCAGGGTTCCCAGATTTTGAGATATTTAGCTCTCTTGCCCTGTGTCGACCAGTGGATCTCCTCTAGTTCTCTGGTCCGTTCTACCCGTTGGACCCATTGTTCTCTAGAGGGCGTTTGTGTTTGTCGCCAGAGCATGGGTATAAGAGCATTGGCCTCGCCTAGAAGGATGTTTAGAAGTTGCTGTTCATATGGGTCTGTCAGCGCCCGTGGCCACCCTAGTAGTACTTGGGAGGGGGATATGTGTGTCCTCATGGATAGGAGTTTCTTGATATATATGGAGGGTGCTGATTTGAAATTAATCAAAAAAGTATGTACTGGGCTCAGTGGAAATATCAAGTAACATGGATCTTAAGTGTGTCCTTATGAAATACAAATGTATCAGCTGATCGGACCTAAACCTCCTATATAGTAAGGTAGGTAGTGTCCACCAGCTGCAAATGGGTTAATATAGTAAAGATCTTATAAATATAAGAATCAAATACCACAGATACAAATGTCTAACATACCCCTATAAAGAAGGTATGCATAATTAAAATGCAAATGAAAAAATGCAAATGAAAAATGCAAATGGAAAAAAAGGTCTGAAGTTAGTCAAATATATGTACAGCAGACGTAAAACTTATTAATACTTTATTATCTGAACAGCACACTAAAATATATAAAGACTAACGGTAATAAAAATAAAAAACAGTCCCACATATGAGAGGTGGATAGTTTACCGGGTCACAGTAGACTGAGGGTCCAAAAAAGACAGATATACGTTACTTTCTCTTGCCGTCCGGACAGAGAAGGAGGAGGACTGCCTCGTGCTAAGCTGACACCGGGTATTCTCCGCGTGCGTTTCACTGCGGCTATGCGTTCCAAATCTCTCTCTCAGGAACTGATGATCGTCGGATGCCTTCCTTACGCGTTTCGTGATTTCAAATCACTTCATCAGAGGATCTTCTGTTTTTCTCCTGTTTTTTATTTTTATTACCGTTAGTCTTTATATATTTTAGTGTGCTGTTCAGATAATAAAGTATTAATAAGTTTTACGTCTGCTGTACATATATTTGACTAACTTCAGACCTTTTTTACCATTTGCATTTTTCATTTGCATTTTTTCATTTGCATTTTAATTATGCATACCTTCTTTATAGGGGTATGTTAGACATTTGTATCTGTGGTATTTGATTCTTATATTTATAAGATCTTTACTATATTAACCCATTTGCAGCTGGTGGACACTACCTACCTTACTATATAGGAGGTTTAGGTCCGATCAGCTGATACATTTGTATTTCATAAGGACACACTTAAGATCCATGTTACTTGATATTTCCACTGAGCCCAGTACATACTTTTTTGATTAATTTCAAATCAGCACCCTCCATATATATCCTTTTCTGTAACCTTTGGTGGTGGTTACTAATTGTACTAGTGGCACAGTGGTCTTTATCGGCTACTCTTATCTCAAGATTCTACTATATGAGGATTTCTTCCTAAATATAGCTATTTATTTAGGAGTTTCTTGATGTCCGTGAGTATCGTGTCCCAAAATGGGGCTATGTTCTTGCAACCCCACCAGATGTGTTCCATGTTGCCCTCTGCTCCCTCGCATCTCCAGCATTGGTCGCTTACTGTGGGCCAGTAGGTGTGGAGAAGGGCTGGTGTTCTATACCATCTGGTGACCCTTTTGTAAAATGTTTCTTTGCGGGCGATGCTTAGTGGGGCTTTCATCCCTGAGATCATGATATGTGCCCAGTCACTATTCGTCATGTGAATGTGGAGTTCCCTCATCCATTTACGTTGGTATGGGGGTCTGGGTGTATCTCCGTTTTCCAATTGGAGGAGACGGTAGATGGCCGATAGGGGCCGTTTTGTTTTATTGCCCTGGGAGCATAGGGATTCGAATGGCGTCTTGTCCCTTTTCTTCCACAACGGGAGGACCGATTGGGTCAAGAAGTGGGTTAGCTGGGCTTTGGCCATAATGTCTAGTAGTGTTCCTCTGTTACCTGGTGTTGGGAGGGTCTTTATTTTAGGTGGGTCGTCACCTGTTAGGACTGCCGCTACTTCTGGGCAGGCCTCTCCAGTGACTCGAGTTAGAGTAGTGCTTCCCTGACCGTTTTGGAAGTCTGGGTTGTTAGCCAGAGGGAAAAACTGAGACAGACCGGGGGATAGTCCCCAGCCCTCTCTATGTCTCCTCCATGTCCGGAGTGTGTTATGGATGAGGGGGTGGTGTGTTGGGGAGAGTTTTGTGAGTTGGCATGTCTGCCAAGGGAGCGTGTGGAGAGGAACAGTCGCGAAGCTCTGTTCAAGGTTGTACCAGGCTTTTGGCGTGCCAACCTTATTCCAGTCCCTGACTCGTGTGAGAAGAACTGCTACGTAGTATTTGTATAGGTGAGGTAAGCCTAACCCCCTCCTCCCCGGTGGGGATGTTATTGTCGAGTATGCCAGCCTCGCAGGTTTGTTTCCCCACGTGAATTTTATGATTATGGATCTCAAGCATCGGAAGAATTCTCCTGGTAGAGGGATCGGAAGGGTCTGAAACAGGTATAGTACTTTCGGTAGAGTCATCATTTTTATTATATTGACCCGACCCATTAATGAAAATTGGGGTGAGTCCCATTTTTTGAGGTCTCGAGCTATAGTGTCTATGAGTGTCGGGAAGTTCTGAGTGTACAGGTCCTTGAGTGACGGGGTGAGGCGGATACCTAGATATGTCAAGCTTTTCTGAGCCCAGGCGAAGTTGTGGGATTCCTTAATCTGGGCCTGTAAGGCCGATGGTATGGAGAGTCCTAGTATCTCGCATTTTTCTGTGTTGATTTTGAAATTTGATAGTGTGCCAAATTTATTTATTTCCGTTTGTACCTGGGTCAGTGTGTGGAGCGGGTCCGTGACAGAGAAGAGCACGTCGTCTGTGAATGCAGAGACCTTCACCTCTCCCCCTGGATAGCAGTGTCCCTTAATTTGGGGGTTGTTTCTGACAGATGTCAGAAAAGGCTCTATCGCCAAGACGAACAGGAGAGGGGAGAGCGGGCATCCCTGGCGGGTGCCGTTTCCTATTTGGAAGGGGGTGGAGTGTTGCCCATTTACCCGTACAGTGGCTGTCGGACCTATGTATAGTGTGCGTATCCAGTTCCTTAATTTGGGGCCTAGACCTAGGTTCTCCAGTACTCCAAATAGGTACTTCCAGTCTACCCTATCAAAAGCTTTTTCAGCGTCTATGCCTAGTAGCATTGTAGGGGTGTGATTGGTATTGGCTCCATGTATGATACTTATTATTCTAGAGGTGTTGTCCCTGGCTTCCCGTCCCGGCACAAAACCTGCCTGGTCGGGGTGTATCAATTCCGGCAATAAGGGTTTAATGCGGTTAGCTATCAGTTTGGCTATGAGCTTAAGGTCTAGGTTAATAAGGGAGATGGGTCTGTAGCTGCCGCAAGCTTCGGGGTTCTTCCCAGGTTTGGGAATGATGGTGATAGATGCGCGTAGCATCGGGGCCGGGAGGGAGGTGCCCGGTTCCAGCCCGTTGAGCATCTTAAGAAAGTGTAGTCCCAGGTCATCTATCAGTGTCTGATAATATCTAGCTGTGAGGCCGTCTGGGCCGGGGCTCTTGCCTTTCGGCATTGTTTTGATCGCTTCAGAGAGTTCCTTATGGGTGAAGGGCTCCTCAAGTACCTGGGATGCTTCGGACGGGACCTTGTGTAGTATATTGGCCCGCAAGTAGTCCTGTAAGTCTAAGGGGGTACCTATGGGGGGTGTAAGGTTATAGAGATTGTGATAGAAGTTGCTAAATGCGTCTGCTATGTCGTCGGTGGTGTTACATTGTTTCCCCTGGCTATTTTTGATGTGAGTTATAAAGGATTTTTGGAGCTTAGTCTTCAGTGCTCGTGCTAATAATTTCCCACTTTTATTTCCCTGCGCATAGAAAGAGCCTCTCGTTAACTGGACGGCCCTATGTGCTTTGAGGGATAGGAGGGATCGAAGTTCCATTCGGAGACCTGTTAGTGTGTGGAATATCTCCGGCGTGGGGGTCTGTTTGTGCAGTGTTTCTTGTTCCTGTATGGCTAGTGTCAGGGCTGTCTGCTTTTGTGCTCGTTCCTTCTTGATCCTAGATCCCCATTTAATCAAGATACCCCTAATTACCCCTTTGTGTGCCTCCCACACCCAAGCGTCGGTTACATCTGTAGTAGTGTTTTCTAAGAAGTAATGGCGGAGTGTCGTCCGTATGTCCTCTATTACTCTTGGGTCATCTAGGAGGGTCTCATTGAGTCGCCATTGTGGGCTTTGTGTAGGGGCATTGAGTAATGTTAGAGTTAGAAAAATCGGGGCATGGTCTGACCATGTGATATTGCCTATGCTTGCGTCTTTTAGCGCGGAGAGGTACCTGTGACTTAGGTGGAACATGTCAATTCTAGAGTAGCTGTGAGCGGTTTGTGAGTAGTAGGTGTAGTCCCTATCTTGTGGGTGTGCTATACGCTAGCAGTCCATCAGTTGGTATGCAAATAGCGCGTTCGCCAGTAGTGTGCGCTGATGTCGCCTTTTGTCTGAGGTGCGGGTGGAGCTGTCTATCGAGTGATCTAATACCATGTTCCAGTACCCCCTACAATCACCATTCCTTCTGCGAAGGCCTCTAGTTTGTTTAAGCAAGATCGAGCGAATGAGCCCTGTTCTGTGTTTGGTGCATAAATATTGGCCAGTGTGATCTGCGTGCCTAGGCATTTCCCTTTGACAAACAGGAATCTCCCTCCTGAATCTGCCTTCACAGTGGTGTCTGTGAGGGCCGCCCGTGTGTTCACTAAAATCGCTACCCCTCTAGATTTGCTTTTCCCATAGTTGCTGTGGTAGGATTGTTGGAGGTGTTTAGCTCTGATTCTAGGCTGTGCCTCTCCCCTGAAGTGCGTTTCCTGAATGAATGTGATGTCCGCCCTCTTTCTGTCAATCTCTTGGGCCAGCATGCTGCGTTTTTCCGGGGTGTTAAGGCCCCCTAACATTAAGGGACATTAGCTTAATTTGCGCCATCGTAGTGAGGCAGTCGTTTGAGCCGATTTATACGGAAGTGGGACCACATGGCTGGGCGTGCGACAGTTGGGAGGTAGGGGGTGAGTATGGGGGAACAAAAACTATATACACAAAAGCAAGAGAAAATAAACATATTTACAAAGAGGTGGCACAGTACTTGTGGGAGACTAAGTCGTGTCCCCAAGTTAGTGTTTAAGCGCTTCTCTGTGGGGGAGGTGGAGTTCTGTCTGTCTGGACAGGTCCTGGTTAGGAGGAAGGAGTGGGCTTCCGGGACTCAATGAGAGTGAACATCATGTTCCTCATACGGGGCCTGTGTCAATGTCCCTTGAGATGTACCCGGTTCCGGGCTCCCCCGGGGCCCCCTAATGTAACAGAAGTATTTGCGTTAGGGTCCTGGGGCCCTAGTGGTCAGTGTAGTATAAATCAGTGAAAGACATTGGCGGCATTAATATAATGGAGAAATATATCTATGCGTAACAGAAGTATATAAAACAAAATAAGCCATATACAGTTTTGGTATTTGAGAGATTAGAGCAAAGGATATCTAGGAACGTCAACAGCCGTCCTCAGGCTTCTTCGTCTCTGGTCTTGCTAGGGGTCTCGGTCCTAGCCTGGGGTTGCCTCCTCCGCTTTCTTGGTGTTCTCTACCATGTGGGTTTTTGCTGGAGCGGTACGGGTTTGCAGTTGGAGAGACCTGTCCAATCTTCGATTGCGACTAGGGGTAGACCCAGTGCCTGTTGAAAATCAGGGACGTCCGTCGGCGTAGATATAGTGTGGGTTTCGTTGTGGGTGGATACTGTTAGGGCGAATGGGAAGGACCATCTAAATTTGATCTGTTTTTCAAGTAGGGCTGATGTAATTGGCTTAAGAGCCCGTCTGGCTTGTAATGTGGCTGGTGAGAGGTCTTGGAAAATAGCCACTGGGTGCCCCTCGTATTTTAAGGCCTTATTTTGTCGGGCCTTATGGAATATCTCCTCTTTCAGAGGGAAGTTGTGGATGCGGCATATAAGGTCGCGGGGCATGTCCTTTGGTAAGTTTCTGGGCCGTGCTGCCCTGTGGGCCCTGTCGAATTGTATTGCAGTGTCAGTTGGTCTAGTGAGGACCTGATTAAAGAGGCCTTCCGGGCCCTTTGGGATTCCCCTCACCCTCAGGTTATTCCGCCTTCCCCTATTGTCTAGGTCGTCCAATTTTCTTTGGAGGTAGACTATTGCATCTGTATGTCGGGTTTGTATGGCTTGAGATTCCGTCCATAAGCGATCATGTGTTTCCCCTGCATCCTCCAGATTTTGTACTCTGGCGCCTAGGTGCTGTACATCTGATGTAATTGCCTGCAGTTTCTCGCCAAAGGAGTGTTCCAGTTTCTGGAACATATCTGTGAGGTCTTTCTTCGAGGGCAGTCGTGTGAGTAGGTCCCTGATGTCGGATTCGTCCCCTGAGCCCTCAGATGGAGCTGGGCTGGGAGGCTGGCTGCCAGGTGTAGGGCCGCAGGCGCCATTTTGGTTGTTTGGTGTGCCTCTGTTTGTTCAGCAAAGAATAAATTATACATTTAATTTTTTTCCAAAAATTGGTGAGAATTACTCAATGCACAGCCAATTTCCTCCCCTCTCTATAAATTGACATTTCAAATTGGTAAAAGCTGTTTATGCAGCCACTGGTATTTATATCTACTAAACAGCTTGGTAGCTTTTCCTGTGTTGCAGAGCTAAGCCCTTGGAAGCATATCATTAAAGGGACACAACAGACAT